TTGGGATTTACATCAAGACTTTGAAGTATCCTCTTGCCTCAGAGATGCCATCATCCCAGTCCCATCCAGCCCCCCACACAGAGCCTGTTTGGCTGTAAATCTGCTGTCTTTGTGGTGACAGCGACTTCAGGCATGCCTCCAGTGGCTCCCACAGTGGACCAGCACAAATTACTTTTCGCATGTCTGAGCCCACTGCTGTCCTCTTCTGTCCCTCTCTTTTCATGGCTTTATTTTTCTCTCTCTTCATTTCTCCTCCTCCTCCTCCTCCTCCTGTCCAGCAGGGCCCGCCTCCCTGACATCAGCTCGTTTCTGTCCTTCCCCAGTGTAACTGCCGATGTGTCTCCAGTTGATGTTGCTCTGAGTGCCTGCGGCTCCCTCCCAGATCAGCCCCACGCTGACTGTGTACAAGGAGATGAGCTGTATGTTTGTTCAGCTAATGGCTACAACTAGCGTCAGAACAGTATCAAATTGCATTGACGTCCGAGCTGCTGTAATAAATGAAATATGCATCTTACTGTCGTCTCGTCTGTTCTCAGAAGCCTTTCATCTTCGGCCGTCTGCCAAAGCATCTCTCAAAGGGTTCTAGTGTGTTTTAGCAAATTGAAAGTGGCTTTTTATGCTTTGATTGATGGGGCTGGTGGCATTCAGATTACGTAAGTGGACAGTGATGGATTCCCGTTCAAATCAGCACTTTGTGTTCAATTGATTGGCGGTCAAGCGTATCAATCATAAAACACTGGAAATCTTTCATTTTAGTTGCATTGTGCAGTCGGTAGAGTTAGTTATGTGTAATTTAAAGAAAGTCTCCCTCCATGCAGCTACACAGGACTGAATGCCTCAAGGAGAAGCAAACAGACAGACAGGCTGTCAGTGGGGAGAGATTCCTCAATAGGGAAAATGTATCGCCTCAGAAAAGTTCAGCATGATAATAATGGGCGCCACTAAGCTGCACAATTTGATTGGGGGGCGTGAGGGACGTGTAGAGGACATTTATCAGTGTGACACAGGACACAATGCTCTTTGTTTGATTGGTTAAATTAGTGGGAGCTCATTTGCTTTCACTGCAAAATCCTTTACAGGGCTTTTTTGTTGTGTTAATTAAGCGGGAGCGACCATTTTGTATGCTGCGTGCGTACTAGGCTGGGAAGGAATGAAAAAAGATCATTGTTATTCCTCTCTTGCACCTCGCAGGCATTGTAGTTTGTTTGTGTTTGTTTTTTATGTGATTCGCACCAAAAATGAGCTGCTTAAATATATATTTGTGTTTTTATTCTTTGTGGATGAGGTTGCTTTACACTTGCTGCACATATCATGTACACTGTTATGATGACTAAAGGTGTGTTGTGTGATGGGCTGTGTGCAGTTTGTTGGTTGTTGGCAGCCTGTGCCTGGACTGGATTTATGTACTTTGACATTTTGTATTTTCTTAACCGGCAGATACTGTGTGTGTCCAAGACAAATTTCCTTTGGGCCAATAAAGTCGATCTTATCTTATCTTATTTGCTAAAATTAGTTTGGTTTCGTTTTTCAGACAGCCTCTGAAAATCGCCTCCCCTGAATACAAATTCTTCAGAGTTTTTCTCTGTGCCAACTGAACTGTTGCCAACACCTGATGTTTTGTTACAACAGACATTTTACAACAGACTCATTTAACCTGCTGAATTCGTAAGATAATGAAGGGTGCAGGGAATTATTCCAGGAATGGCGTCGCTGACGGTGGAGATAATTTCTTCTCATGAATGAATTATCAGTATTTGTGGAAACGTTTATTAAAAACCTACCTGAGCAAAAACAGAATCCTCACACTGGATCCCCTCAGCTAAGTGAATCCACTGATTATGCCTGGTCACGAGGTGCTGCTGTGCATTGGCTGCTCCTCATGCTACCGTCTTTCACAGTTAAGATGAAAATGTGATGAGACGGGAGGATGTGTTCCAAACTGAAAACAAGCTGGAAAGGAAGGTTTGAAAACCATTAAAGCTGGGAAAGGCAGTTTTATTTTGGCATCACTGGGCAAAACTCCCCAGATAAACCTTGAGCATATTGTAACTCGAGTGGTCTGAGAGAAAACTTCTGTGCCTCCTCTTGGCTCATGACGAGAGACATCGGCCAATCACATGTCATTTCAGAAAGAAGGCGCTCTTGTTGGCTGTTCCACAAACGCAGATGTGCGTGCACGTCCCTTCAGTTACAGCCTGATTCAATAGCGAAGAACCCTGCAGAGAAAGTTGTGTCCTAGCTTTGGCAACAACTGCAAAGCGACCCTCAAAAAGAAGGACTGAAAATAAAACGTGTCATTATCAGCAAAGCGATTTAGAGATGAAGAGGAAATCACTCCCTGCTGCTACAGACCACGTCGCTGGGACAAGAGCAGGCAGCAGCCCTGGAAATGGACCACCAGTTAGCGGCTGCATCAACTCAAATCCAGCCAGTGCAAACCCCAGCTTCAGGAGACCAAACATCCATGATTCCCCACCGGATCAGCAAACTTTTGTTGCTATCATCAAACAGGTTAGACTGGCGCCATTGTGGGCCAACAGTACACTGTAACAACTGGTGCTGGGAGGTTTGCGCTGGCTGGATTCAGGCCGCTACAACTGCTGACTAAAGGTCTGTCTCCAAAGCTGCTGCCCGCTCTCCTCCCAGGGAAGCAGTCCACAGTAGCAGGGAGCGAGGCGGAGGGAATGTGGGGTGGCTAACATTAGCTCGCTAATTCTTTTCTCATTTGTGGTCTGATAAATAGACAGAGAGCATGGTAAGGAGGGGCTGAGTGATTGTGCTGCAGGGAACTGTACTAAGAAATGAGATTAAATAAATCAATGTATAGGAAACACTGTTACTGCATGAAGCGTGTGCATGTGCCCATGGTCGTCTCGTGGGAGGTGCCTAGGAAGGAGAGGGGGAAGCTGCAGGAGGAGAGTGTGTTTTTCAGATACTGCTGTATTTTTGCCTTTTCCAGATTTCTACCTACCTCAGCTTTAAGCTCTCGGGATTTGGACAGTTTTCACAGGGTCATTGATAATAAATAACACCATAAATGCCCTGCAGATATTTGGTTCTCTTCTTTGCTTTGAAACTGTAAAAGTCAACATATTGCACCAGTAAGTTCACCAGTGTCATTCTTTTAATATCAGCTCAGTGCCTCCAGGCGCTTTAATTAGTTTATACTTGAGATGTCTCCCATCATAGTGCTGCTTAACCCACCTTGTTTGCTGCTTTCATAGCCTGTAATATGAAACTTGCAAGTCACAATGGGATCTACTGAGGCTGCAGCCTCTCACCTCGCTCCTCACACTGACAGCTGACCTCTCATTAATCACATAAATCAGCAGGCCGACATTGTGCGAACTCCCAAATACTGGCAGGTCTTGTTTCAGTTCAGTGAACTCAGAGGGCAATTTTTTTGTTGTAAAGCAACATCAAACCACAAAACCATGACCCAACGCAGTACTGTCTCTCACTTCCTTGAAAAACAGCATGCCTAGTCTTTTTTTTCCCTGGCCTGTTTGATGTCATTTGTCATTCCTCTAATGGAAGTTTTGTTGTGCTGCTGGGTTTTGGATGCAGGTTTGGCTGAACTGTAGTCCACTCTTGTAAGGGTGGGGTGGTTTACAGTGTGTATGCAGCTGTGGTTAGAAGCTGGCTACATTGTTGGGACTGATTTAATATGAAAAGTAAACCCCTACTGATGACTTTAATTGGCTGGCTCTTATTTATTTATTTATTTGGTTGGTGCAATACAACGTTACAAAAAAGACAAAGTACATTTGATGCGAAGCGTGTACGTTGTGTTTAGGGGTGTCAGTTTCAGTTTATTTTGCTTTCATTAGCCCAACACCCATTTACTGTAAACTGATTAATGTTCAATAAGAAACTAGAGATGATGTGAAATTCAAGAGGTGCTTTCCTTTTAGTCAGGCGCTATTGACTCAGTTAGTTTTAGCATTTCAAAGAGCTATTCATTTAGAGATAGTGAAATTTTAATGTTTTGTGTCATAAATGTCTTGCATTTTATTATATTTGCTGTTGGCCTTGCTGACAAACAGCAGGCTAGCTGCGTTAACACATGGAAACATGTTGCCCACTGTCCACCCTCCAGTCTCAACTAGTTAGCTAGCTTTGCCGCTCAGCACTACACGCCACCACGTAGCTTGCTAGCTGCGCATCTCTTTCGGCAGTTACTGCTGTTAATGCTGTCCTGACCCATGGTGGCGGTGAGTAACTGGCTTTATTTTGAGCTGCAAAACCCCTTTAGCATTGTTAAGTATGTTAGCACCACTCGCCATGCTGACACTGCTAACGGTGCTAACGGAGCTAATAGCAACAACAAAGTAAACAGTGCGAACAGGGGTTTTGCATGGGATGGGGTTGGTATTGATAGTGGTAATCGCCAGATGAGTGGCAATGCCAGCTAGCACCCAAAAGCCCCAGGTGGTGTGCAGTACAGTAAACTGAAGAGTAGCAAAATTAACCCACAGATTGACATGCATAATTGGTCAAAAATGGCTGTTAACCCATTAATGGTTAACTGTTGACTTTCCTAGTTTAATTTCAAATTTCAAGGGTGACACACAGGAGATTTTTGGGGTCCTCCACAAGAAAATTTCAGCATCAGACATTTAATTTCCTGCTTTCTGATGAATTCTTATGCACTGATTTGAGTCTTTTCAACATGACTTTATGCAGTAAATGTCTTCAGTTAGGTCAAAATTAAAATCCTCTGCTACTTAAATGTTTTATGGAGGGGCGGGTAAGTGCCACAGGACAAATGGAGAGCGTTAAAACTTACATATATTATGACATGACAGTACAGTACAGTACAACAGTTAACTGGTGTTAATGGCATGGCATGCAACATTAGGTGAGGTATGTTTGAAACAAGGACTGCTATTGACAAAGAAAAAAGGGAAACAAAGTGTGGAAAATAATAGATAATGAAAACTAATGGTTTGATCTCTGTAATGACGCCCTTTTTTTCTTGTTTGTGTGTCATTGTTCAGGAAGCCAAGCTGCGTGAGCTACTGGATGTCAGCACACTGGCGGGGAAGATGGAGAACAGGATGCTGACGGTGGTGAGCGGCCCAGACATGGTCAACATCACCTACCTGAACTTCATGGCCTTCCAGGAGGAGACGGCCAAGGTAAATAAATATTCTGCACACGAACAAAAACAACACAAATACATTGATAAGGGGTTTCATTCATGTCTGTGAGCTCAGTGTTTATGAAAGTTTTTCCAGGCTGTAGAAAAGTTTTCAAATGAAAAAAGTGATAACCTTAGGCATGCAGGTGAATGATGATAGAGATAAAACAGGAAAAACAAAACCACTAAAAAAAATACTTGTTAATATTGCAAAAATGAAAGCTTGAAATAACTGTTTGTTCTTATGGCACAAAGGTTAATTAAAAATTATAAAAGACGGCGTGACTATGATGTGATTTCCATCTCAACGTGCTTATTTTTTTAAGTGGTGATAAATAGATGGGATTAAAAGAAGTTCCTGTGTATTATCTGTTCAGTTTGAAGGCACCATTTCTCTGTTGGGCTAACTTCATGGTGTGTAGCTTCAGGGTTGAAATTTCACACCAAGGTTAACCAAACTAGCGGCAGTGTGTTTTCTTAATTCAAATAGATATTATCAGCATATCAACACGTGCAAACTAATGTCTGCATTTATTCCTAACACATGGCTGTAGTCACACCACCACATTTCAACCCTCAGCAGTGGGTTTCACAATTTATCGAATACAGTAATGTATATCACAGTTTGGCCTCCCACAATTAAATGAACATGATCGCCTGCGATACTGACGTTTAAAATGTGTGCTCCGCTCATAGAAAACCCAGCCGCATTTCAATTCAATTGCTTCTTAAACTAACAGGCAGCTTCCACTTTTGACAAGCTGTCATGCAACATCCATTCATCAACCATCATTTTCTGTTGTTTGGAGGTATTTTAGTTTAAGGAGAGGAATAATTCTATACAAAGAGCGCATGAGAAACACCACAAACTGCAGTACGATGAATGGATGAAGATGGAGAAGAGTATCCTTGCTAGCTTTACCTCACCGTCTGTTTCCAGTATCAACTCAGACATCCATAAAGCCCAGTTCAGACCAAAGATTCACAACAAGACAAGTTGAAACTTGCAACTAATGCGCCGTTCTGCAACTTTCTAAAACGTGTCGGCTCACACCAATGCAACTAGATTAGACAGTGTATTATCTCTATGCAACAACTGTACTTCTGTTCTGATTTTCAGCTTTTCAGGTTTATTTTGTGGCTGAATATAATTTGTAGCTTCTTAAAATAGGAATGAGGATAGAGATAGTGAGATACTGGCTACAGCTGCGTTTGTAGTAGTGTTGATACAGTGAAAAACAGAAACAAATAGAGCATCAGATGGACTGTATTCATCTGAAATACGCCAAACTATAAATAACCAGCGATAATTAATCAATAAGTAAGAATGTGTGTATGTGTGGGGGGTTCATAAGCACATACAGGGAGCATGAGCAGCGACCCACTGTTAGACAACAGCACACCATGAGGATGGAAACAGAGGTTTCGGCGCAGAAGAGGTGACACCATCAGACGGCCAGACTGCCTAGTTCACACCACTGCAACTTTTCTCTGCAACGTTCTTAAAAGGTTTTGTCTTGTTGCGAATCTTCTGTCTGAACCCGGCCTAACAGCGACGCTGTTACAGCACTGTTTCCATCCAGCTCTCAACGACAGACTAATATTACCAATGCAATCACATTCCATTCAGCCAAATATTTGTGTCCAATAAGCACTGTTTTCATTTAGCCGCATCACATTTATTTTTAGTTATCTTATATCTTGGGCAAAAGTCTTATCTGAATGCAAAGATTTGTTCATGAACAGGAAAAGAGCACAACCTGTTAGGGAATCACGATGATATGGCTTTAAAATGAAACATCAGAATCAGCCAACATGCTTTTTCTTTCTTTCCACAATTAATGAATATTACATACATTGAAAAGTATTGTATTTCATGTCTCTGTCTGCTGGTGGGCCATCATGATAAGAGTATGCCTGTACAGTATGTTTATTCAACTACAGAAGAGACTCTATGATCACTAAAATTAGGTGGGGAAAAAGTAGATATATCAATATTGGTATTGGTTATCAGTCAAAGAGGTTGTTATATATCAGCATATCTGATGTTGGCAAAAAATCCAATATCGTGCATCCCTACAATCTGAAGCATGTGCTCTGTTCAATGTGAAAGTGCAACAAAAATAAAATAAAATGTAAAATCATGATCTCAGTTTTGATTGAAATAATTGTTCTTATAATTTTTGCAATTATTGTGCAGCTCCACTCAGCAGTGTTGTTTGCAACTGATGCTGTATGTGTGTGTCTCTGCTTTTTTTTTTTTTCTTTTGTTTGTTTGCTCGTTTGTTCTGTTTGCTCTGCAGGAATGGGCGGAAGAGCTGTTCAACCTGGCCTCTAACCTCTTGGTGCAGAACATGTCCAGAGAGGACTGCCTTGAGAAAGTGTATGTCATCTACACACATACACACACACACACACACGCACAAGCAGTCACACAAAAAATGTAAATCCCCAAGATAAATATGAAAATCAGGCCTGCTAGGAACAAACAAACCTCTGTCATCACGAGCGTCACATCAGGTATGTACTGTGTTGTACATAAACAAAAACAGCACCAAAAAGCAAATCAGGCATCTTGTGTAAAAGAGACATGTGACTGACTGTAATTGCGGACAAGTGCACAACTCTCCGACACCGTAAAGTGTTTACTGACAAATGCATGCAAAGACATATTTGTAACACTCACGTAACCGTGCAGAATGTGCAGTAAAAACATCATAAACCCTGCAGCACACACACAGACACCTTTGTGCAAACACCGAGGTACATATGTGCTGCACTGTACTCACACACACACACACACACACACACACACACACACACAAATAGGGGGGTTGCTTTCCACAGCTCCACAAGGCAGCCTGAGGGTTTGAGTTTATGAAGGTCATTGCACCTCACACTGAAGGGGGGAGTAAGGAGAGAAAAAACAAACAGGAAGGAAGGAAGGAGGAGGAATAAAACAGCTGGAAATATGTATCAGTTCATGAACCCGAGCGGCTTACTTGCTCCTCAGTGCAGGAGTGCGTATGTGACAGCTTGTGAGTGCGGTGCTGCAGCCTATATTCTTGCTGCATTGATGACATAATGACAACCCCACGTCAGGAGATCCTTCAACAGGTCGAGTTGCTGACTTGAAATTGAGGTGGTGTCAAAATGTTAAAGAGGAGTCACCATTTTGTTGGCTCCAGCCTATTACATAAATCACCCCGAGCCATCATCAATGGCTCTTTGTCCAGCAAGACAGTCACCATCAATCGCCCTTGCACCACCTCTGATCCTGTGTAATAACTGTGTCTAACAGCACCGGGGTCATATTGATCTTATCAGAACACACACACATAGACTGATCTATGGGTCGCAGCTGATTTACGTGTGCAGCGAGTGAACCTAAATATGAATCTGCCGCACTGTATGGAGATAATATGCCAGGCTCTGCTTGGTGACAACTCCCAGCTGTGTGATGTTTATCAGTAAACAGAAGCCATTAACTTGCACCCCTGAGGAGTCTAATTGACTTATGAGACAATAAAAGTGGCCATCGACCACATACTACACAGAGAGTTGAACACAATTGGATAGAGCAGGTTTCGCAGTCACGCTGGTTGCTCGCAGCAGCAGTTGTTGTGCACTGCTTGCTTACAAACAAGGCGATTCTTTGTCTTAATACTACGACAGCATGTGAAGACTTTATCCCCGTTGATATTCTTCTGCAGCATCTCTTAATGCTGTGATACATTTTTTGGGAGGGGGGTATCGTATGTAGGCAATGTTCCCATCAGCTGGAAACAAAGCAGAACTCAGCATGTCTTTAAGTAGCTGCTTGCTACCAGGAGTGGGCGAAATGGCCCTAATGATGTTCCCGGGTGTTTTTGCAAAAACAATATTCTCTTTTTTTTTTGTTTGTTTGTTTTTTTTAATTTTAGTTTTTCAAAATATGCAAAGCACACAATCACAAATTGACAACACACAAACACCAATTTTGCATTACAGACATTAAAGTAAATTGGCATCCCCATTAGTCACTACCAAGGTAGCAACTACTCTTCCTGGGGTCCACACAATCAAACATTACGTTATAGACAAATACATAATTTAAAATCCAAGGCATAAGGAAAGAAAATACGACGAAAAACAGGAAAACTACAAAATAAAAAAAAAAAGAAACCAATATATTAACCACAATATGGTCAGAAATTGTCAGGTAAAAAAAAATAATAGAAATAATGATCATTTTACAGCTCAAAGATTATTGTAGTTCTACTTAAAACAGCATATACAGTGACTGATAGTAGAAAAGACTGGGAAAGTTTCACATTAAGGGTCATACAGTCAGGTATTATATAACAAACCTTATTTGCGATGGGCTGGTGTTCTGTGCCATCAGGTATCTCTTTAACCTCTTTTTAAAAACAGCTGAACTTGTTCCACGTGTGAAGTCTGGTGGCAAACCATGCCATAATTTCATTCCTCTTAATATTACAGCACGTTGCATTTGTTTTTGAAACAGGAAGTGAAAAACAGCTTCTTGCCGCATGCCTAGTATTCATTTTATAGTTGTTGCTGCAATAAAAAAATAATGGCAAAGGATATTTTGGGTTTTAGACAATAAGATAATTCTCATAAAACAGAGCAGAGAAATATCCATCTTGTCCTTCACCAATGGCCGACCTAAGGTTGAATGGATTCTGATGATGTCAGCTCTATTGACTCTATTACAGTTCAGGGTAAGTCATGCAGCTCTATTCTGGACTATCTGCAGTTTTTCTAGGTCTTTATTTGATGCACACGATCACACTGCTGGACAGTAATGCAGCTGAGTAAGAACTAATGATTGAACAACGTGAGAGAGTCCTCTTCCCATAACTGCAACAGTTTTTTCTTTCTATTTTGACCACTTCAATCTGCTGTCTAATTTGACCCTGAGGAGTTTGGTTTCTTCCACCTGTTCCACAGGCAGGTTTAAGGCCTCTAGTTTCGCAGACAGGACGAGGTGGAGGCGCAGCGCACCTGCGCTTCGCCAACTGGTTGTGGCCAGGCGGATTTTGCAAGTTTGGCACACTCCTCTTTCCCACCTCCGTCCCTCCTACCTGTGCAAGTCATAAAGAGGAAGGGGAGAATACGTTGAGTGGGTTTTACACATATCACACCAATCAAATGAGCCCCTCTCCTTGCCCTTAAATGCACTGTGCGAAGTCGTAATGAGAGTTTACACAATTCGCCATGGCAGAAGAGAGCAGCAGCGTCAGACGGCCAAACTTCTCCCAGGAGGAAACTGATGTTTTGGTCCGGGAGGTCCAAGCTCGCAGTTTCCGAATATACGGAACTGCGAGCAGACCTCCACAGGCTGATGATCCAAAGGTAGCCTGGGAGGAGGTCACCACAATTGTAAATCAGTGTTGCCCGGATACACTGAGAACCCAGTGATGCTGTGGCTGTTTGTGGTTGGCTGAGAGGGATGTGAACTCTCAGTTACTTAGTTTGCAGCTGTGTTAATCAAATCAGGTTGGGTTTCCATTACACGTGCCAAACGGTGCCAATCCCCTTTGATCTGACAGTTGATATAGAGATACATTTATGTGCTGATTGCAGATAGTTGCATTGAATAGTGTTTTTTTTGGGTATTTATTGCATTGTTAATGTACCTGACATTCTGGAAACCTGCCTGTGAGGTTTTGTTGACATGTGCGCACTGTCTGCCGGTCAGCCACACTTCCACTACACCGGCTGCTCTCCCCCTGCGCTGACAGTAGACCTGGTTTCAGCTGGCGAGCTTTTAGCGCACTTTCTGTGAAGCCTTTTGGCAGGAAACTGTCACTGCGCCAAGCTGGATCTGTCAACACCTCCCCCTGCTGCGCCGCCACACCCATCTCAGCGCACCGCGGTCTGCCAAACTACCAAACTGAGCGCGCCTCGGGTTGCGCTGCTTGAAACTAGCTCTGTGCGGGGTTCACCACCCTGCGCCGCGCCGGGAAACTAGACGCCTAGGTCTTAAAGATGATCCAAATATTATACTTTCTGTTTTTGATAAATTAAGAACTAACGTATTACTCAATGCCCACATTGCAACTGATTGTAATTCCCTGTCCAAAGCACTAGACAATTCCTCAGTAGATGCTGCTGGTAAATACAGTGTTGTATCATCAGCATACATACAGCATGCAGACAGTCATTCAATCGTATGGGATGGGAAATTCTCTTTATAGTTAATAAAAGGTTGCCATATTTTGTAGAAAGAGTATCTTATTCTTTAGTGAGTAAATTATTTTCTGTAGAGGTAGCAACTGTTCACCTCTGAGAGCCACAACCCACCTCATTGCATTACTTTTTTTGGCAATAGCCAATAGGATTTCTGTAAGCTGGATGGAATAGCTATGTCTGATATTAGAATTGAAGAGGTGGCCCTAAAGGCATACCTCCGGATCCATTGGGAAAGTGACTCAGTGGATTGTTGATAAAGCATCACAGACTCACATCACAGCACTTTATTGTTACTTTAGTGTTAGGAAATGTCTTGTCTTTAACTGTTGTGCTTGTGCATTGGGGGGGCGGCAGTAGCTCAGTCCATAGGGACTTGGGTTGGGAACCGGAGGGTCGCCTGTTCAAGTCCCCATCCGGACCAAAATATGGAGTGTGGTCTGGTAGCTGGAGAGGTGCCAGTTCACCTCCTGGGCACTGCCGAGGTGCACCTGAGCAAGGCACTGAACCCCCCAACCACTCTGAGCGCCTGTCATGGGCAGCCCACTCTGACATCTCTCCACTTAGTGCATGTATAGGTCCTGTTTGTGCATGTGTGTGTTTGGACCTGTGTGTAATTGACAAACAGAGTGAAAAAATTGAATTTCCCCTCGGGGATTAATAAAGTATATAAAATTAAAAATTAAAATTAAAAAAAAAAATTTATCCTGTCACCGTGGGATAGAGAGAAACGTCTTCTCAATTCCTCTGTATGTCTGGTACATGTGGAGAAATTGACAATAAAGCTGACTTTGAACTTTGACTTTGAGATTCCCTGCCCAAAGCCTTGTAGTTTACTGCACTGCCAGGTGGAGTGAAGGAAAGTGCCTTCAGCTAGACCACATCAAAGCCAAAGGGGTAAGAAATTGGGGTTAAACCCATGGAGCATGGAAGGGGTGAGATAAGCGATAACGATATTCTTGATTATATGACAAAATACTGAAAAATATTTTATTAACTGTTAAAAAAAAACATGCAATTGCAACAAATTGTTTTAATTTCATGTAAGCATCAACAACTGGCCTTCAAATATTCAGTAAAAATAAACAAAAATTATCTCTTAGTTTTATTTCAGCTCCTCTCAGATCCCATGGATGTCTGTTCCAGCGGCTGGGAGCATAATGGCTGAAAGCAGCATTGTCAATTGTTAATGTTCTGCTCTGTGGAACAGCCAAAAGAGAGGAACTGCAGAATCAGAATCTATGTTCATAAACCAAAAGCATTTCTGAGACTTAGTCTGGTGCACGGCCGTTAAGTGTCTCATAAACTAATAAAAGAATTTTAAAATCAATACGAAAACTAATGGGTCACCAACATTAAGATTTTAAAATAGACGTAATATGTGCTCTCCTTCTGGTCCAGTCGGCACTCATGCAGCAGAATTTTAAATGAATTTCAGCTGATTTATTGTATCCCTTGGTACACCAGAACGGAGAGTGTGTTACAAAAGCCTTCTAGTTATAAAAGCGTGCATCGGTGTCTCTGAGAGAAGAATGTACTCACTTTGGAGATGGAATGATGAATGATAAAAAAAAGTAAGTGGATGTGCAGAAATAAGTACTTGTATTACTGCAGGTGAATTATAAGTGAATTATAAGTGAAGATAGTAGAGACAGACAGAGACAGAGAAAATGGTGAGTCAAACAGAAAAGGAGACAGATGCAAGTAATCTGCTTCGCTGTTTTATGAATAATACAGGCAGCTGTAAGGCAGATGAGAGCATCAACAAACATCTAGCTCTTAGTCTTTCCTGACTCCTGAGCCTTTCATTCATTTCCTTTTCTAGATATTATTCAAAACCGGTTGTGGCAGCCCATTCACCATTTCTGCAAACCATGGATACTTTACATTTGTGTGTTTCATAAGTATCATATCAGCGTTTCTAAAGTGGTGTAGTGTGTGAGCTGACTTTGTCATCAGGAGGAGGAGGGGATGGTGGATGATGTGACACCTAGGCAACATAAAATAAAACCAGTTCAATCAGGACAGACTTGTTTTTATAGTTAAAAGAATATTTATTAACATGTGCACATACAGTGATGATGAATCCATAGATGAATAGGTTAAGTCTAGACGCTGGTGGTGGTAGAGGTGGTGAGGATGAAATGACAAGATGACGGCAAAGTGCCGATGATCTGGATGAGTAGAGGAATGAGCGTTTGTTGAGCTCATCCTGGACTCTGGATACGATGGCTGGAGGTAAACGTGATGGAGGAGAGCATGACAGTTGTGCCTGTTTTTGTGACCCATTGCTGTGTTTTCACCAGACCAAGTGGTTGCTTTGTACTGAGAAATAACTGGGTTTCTAGTTGGGATCGTGCCATGAAAACCAGTTATTTTTAACAAAGTCGTCACTCTGTTTCAAGCTGATTTTTAGGCACCAAATGTGGATGTCTCTTAGCAACCCTTAGCCGTATTTCCATCATGGATGATGTCTCAGAAAGCAGCTGCTTTCCAGTTGGGATTGTGCCACCAAAATAGGGTATTTTAAGCCCTAACACAGGGGTGTTCAAACTTTTTTTTGAATGAGGGCCAGATTAGATAATGTGAAAATACCTGGAGGGCCAGCCGCTTCTTGCATCCTCTGCATTATTTTCAAAAAATCCCATACAAATGAGACAAACACAATTTTGTCATCTTTCAGTAGAAAAGCATCCATGTTTCACTGTTCCTCAAAGTGGTGGCCCTCTCTTTCAACTTTGGGCTTCTTCTCTGTGGCCATGTCAGCTACAAAGCTAGAAATATCTGCTGTTAATTAACTGTTTGTTTGCTGGTTTATGAAAACACATCAGTTCCACTTGCATAGTTTGTACTTACTAGTGCATATACAAACTGTATGATAGTCCTGCATCACGAGGTGAATGGAAAAAATGCGAAGTGAACTTGCTTTACTAACCAATATTGTTTGGTGGGCCACATATCATATGTTTTAAACAACAAGCCATAAGCCGTTTAAAATCAGTCTGAGGGCCACGATTGGCCCCTGGTCCAGACTTCGGACATGCCTGCCCTGACATGATGTTTTCCGAACTATAACCATGCGTGGGGGTTTTTGTTTGTTTTTTTGTAACCACAGTGTTGTTGAAAGATTAAAAAAAAAACAAAAAAAAACATACAGTTTTTATATATCAGGTAGCTACATAATAATGTACAAATGATAATAATAATAATGCATTTTATTTATAGGCACCTTTAAGTGTACTCAAGGACATCTTCCAAGACACAGTTAAAAAACAAGCAGCAATGTATCCATAGATCGGCAGAAGTTGATAAAATGACAAGACAGAAATCTTAATTATAAATATTAGATTTAAAATCATCATCAGTGCAGGTCACCGTGTGTTAGGGTTGGGTCGGTATGAAAAAAAAAAAGGTCCGGTTTTTGTAAAAAAAAACAAAAAAAAAAAAACGCATCAAGTGGGGGATAGAACAGCTGAAGGCTCTAAAACCCATGGTAGTCAAGCAGGCAGATGGTTTTGTGAGTTGAATTGCACAAGAGGATACAGATATAAGAGATTACAAATGTAAAATGTCCGTTGTTTGCAGGAACATACAATGCCAATGTTTATTCTAGCAATTGGGTTGCCGCTAGCTTTAGTGACAAGCAGCTCGCTTTTTCCAACATTTTTCACATCTCCCTCTTTTTCAGAGAAAAGCACCTCAGACATACCACACACACCCAGTTTGGCCCCTGTTAACCATTACAGTCATCTGTGATTTTGCCTGGGGCACCCAGCCTGCCCTGTGAAGTGGACACTGTAATGGATATTAATTATTAGCCAGCAGCCACTTAAAGCCCAGCCTGTAATGATGGCTCCTGTTGCAGCTAAGCTATTTATAGCTCAGGCTGCGCTGCCCATGCTGCTGCCGCTGCTGCTGCTGCTGCTGCTGCTGCATGGCTCTGTGCTGCCAATACAAGACTTCCAGGGATTAACCACGATTCAAACCTGCCATGTAAACGCAGCCAAATATTCATGGAGTGCACAGAGAACTCTTCACATGCAGTCAGCCGCTCACTGCCATAGCAACACAAGTGTGTGTTCCACCACAGTGACGAGTGTAATTTTCATACTCGCTCATTGACAGACATGGCAATTGTTCATGTGCATCAGTCACACATGTAAATTCAAGCAAGCACACGTAAACAGGAATTAAACTTGAGCATTACTCACACGGACAAACCGCTGATTTTCATGTTGTGTAAGGTGTGTGCTTTGTCCATTGCAGATACACTCGGCTGAAGCTGCAGCTCAACCCTGAGGGGCGAATCCCCGTCAAGAAGTAAGTCTGTCTGACTCATCCTTCTCTCCCCTGCCACCTTCTCTGCTCTTTTGATCAATGCGTAGCTTCCTCTGCCTTTTTTTCGCTACTATCAGTATGTATACGCCTCAGTGTACACGCATTCTTTGTGTGTATGTGTGCATTTATTATTAGAATATGTTAACCCTCCCTTCTGTCGTCAGAATACTCCCTTTTATTTTTCCCATGACTCTTCAGCTCTGTGATAAAACTTGGCTCCATTAATTCTGGCACTGTCCTTTCCTTTATCTGTAAAGAGCCCACCCTTACTGGTTTGTGCGCACATGTGTGTCTGTGTGTGGGGTAGCATGGGCCCGGCCGTGGGCCAGCCTCATTTATATCTGTCACTAACTTCAGCTCAAAAATCTGTGTGAGAATATCCTCTAACGAATTTCACTTATCTGTGAGTTTGTCATCAGCTCATTGAAAACCCAACTGTCTCCGTCTCCATTAGTCAAGTTGAGCTTTCAGGCAGTCAACAGTGAACTTCTGCGATAACCTCCCTCAGAGCCGCAGAGGAAAACAGTGGGTGTCAATGCAGAGAGGCAGAGAGACACTCCTTGCCGTTTAGGGAATTAACCTCCTAGCTGGGAGGACATGTCAGCTTGACTAATGTCAGCTTGACTCTGCTCTCCCACTGAGCATACAGTGCATGCTCATGCATCTGAACAGGAATACCTCTGCATGTAATTAAAACAGGCTATGGCCAACGGAAACAGACCTAAACAGCCGGTGGTGGCTGTAACGACGCTGGAGTTCATTGCAGTAAATCTCATTTATTGTCTATATACACTAGAATAAAACACACAGAAGCCCAACCACACAGGAGCTCTGTCTCTCTCTCTGCACTCAAAATGACTGATGAGGCAGCTCCTGGATAAACCATGGATCTCCAAAGCCAAAAAAAAGAAAATCAAAAACCCATTACAATATCTGAATACAGTGTCACAAAGCTTCCAGTGTTGGAATAAAATTGTGAGAGTTTTACCGCAGTTCATTTGGTGTAAGGTGGTTATAAATCTCAGTGTGAGCTGTCTAAAGTCTTTTTCTCTTCCTGATGATCTGATAAAATTAAACATGTTCAATGTTATCGCAAGTTTTTGTCTTGGCTCAGTTCAATGACGTGGACATTGTGAACAACCAAAAGGTGCACTCACTCCAGCACCAAACAGGAAGTAGCAAACAGGGTTGATAATAAACGTGGTGTTTCTCAAAGTCAAGGACCCTTCCTTGGTAGGACGAGTCCTTCCAAGGAAGGGTCCTGCAGAGGTGAGGCAAGAGTCTTCCCTATCATTCAGTGGAAACACATCGGAACAGGCTAACAAGTGTCCCCAGGTGTGCGTCATTAACCCTCAGCAGACTAATTTTGGCACTCTAAACTGTCATTGTACAATTTCAACAAATGCAACCAGAGTCAGGTGACTTTAAGGGAGAACATATTTCTGGATTATACTTAAAAAAACATAACAGGTAGGCTTAATGAAACTTTTGTGGCAGTTAGCACACTATCACTGCTGTAAATGATTAATTAGAAAACTTTTATGTTTTATCTAAATCACATTATTTTAAAAATCTCATTATTTGGCAATGGACGCATTGGAAAGTGTAAATTATGAGGTTGCTGTCAGTATTTTTTCATGATTGTTTGGTAAAAACTCTGGGAGATATTAATTCAAATGAATGACATATTTATCTAAATCCTGTTGAGCTCCATGTGCAAAGAATCGTGGGTATTTTATACCTGCTGAGGATACACACATGCATCCTGGAAATTTCTCTGAATGAAGTACTCTGTCCTCTGTAGAATTTGAAGGATCCTTGACATTGGAGCAGTCCTTAGATGAGACTTGATGACGTAGCATCCTTGAAATTCAGCCTTGTAAGGATAATTCCTTGACTGAAAAACACCCATGGAGGGGACTCCGGGGAGGCGCAAGAATGTGAACAGGTCTCGGTTCTCTTGCACTGTAGAAGAGAAGGAGGAGAGACTGGTGCAGCTGTGGAGTGAACAAGAGTTGGTGTAGAATTTGGTGTGTATCAGATCTACCAACCAGCACTTCTTTTAGTGAGAAAACGTTTTGTCTCTCATTCCGTCTTTAGATGTGAGACGGTGTCAGACTCAAATCTTTTAAAAGTCTTCTAGTGTGTGGTAGGCAATATCGCATGACGCTGTAAAGCTGCATGTTTTTCACAGCACAGCAATCATATAATGGTTAGATATGTGATGTGGAGTTGCAGACATTTCATCTGTATGCCCCATATTTATTTACACAAGACAAAAGCCGAGTTTTGTGCCTGCTGAGACAGGATGTGTGGAGTACTGTCTAAGAAAGTGTAATATGATAACAATAATGATTATGGTAATAGTCATTATTATGGTTCTGAAAATGGTAATGATAATAATAAGAAGCAGTGACAACAGTATAACTTTATGTGCTCATCTTTGCAAACATGTCTGAGGTTTTTTCGTCTTTATAACGGAGTACAACCATTATCACTTTTTACGTACATATGGTGTTACCATCTGGAGCTGAGACAGTGTGAACAGCAGTTTTCACATCAGTGAGTTCTGTGTTGTACCACTCACAATTTAAAAGCTACAGTTGGTAACTTTATAGAAATAACTGTGTCATATTTGCTGAATCTGTCACTACATCTGCACAGCAGTCCATGAGACAGATAGTCTGTGAAAAAGTGTGTTCCTGCACCTCCTCATTATGCTTCTAGAAACTGCTGTTCATGAAAGAAAACAACCAATCAGAGCCAAGGAGTCTGTAACGCAGCTGTCAATCACTGCTTGCAATCAAGATTCAGTTACTGCATTGCCTATTTCTCGCCTCAACTGTTTTCAGAAACACATTTTCGTGTACTGTTTAGTTGTTAAATGAGAAAGGTTGCTCCAGTCTTTGCTTGGCTGGACTGTTTTCAACATGGCTGCCAGGTCACAAACTTTCTCATTTTACAGCTACACAGTACCCTAAAATATGTTTCGGAAAACTTTTGAGGGGGCAATAGGCAATGCAGTAAAGTCGAGCTCACACTGCAGAAGTTTTGGGCGGATTTATCCCACTTCATTCCTCCCAACAATTGTAGGCGAAATCCGGTCTAGTACCTTGGCTGGTACCGATAATTGGATTATCTGGAATGTAAGAATCTTACTCCTCCCAAGCTGCTCTCTGACTCATCGGAGCCGACCAGATCATTTCAAACAGATTTGGAATGGATCTATCAAACCCCAGATTCACCTGACAGCCCCTTGTTCACTCCCAGTGTAAATGTTGAGCCAAACCATAATGTTTTATCCTAAACCACGTGCTTTTGTTGCAAGGACATAAACCTAAATACAGTGTTTTCCCGATGTTATACGTTTTATTTCAAAAAAAATAATATGTATCTAATGAGCAAAAACTGCAGATGTCCTGTGAAAACAAAAGTGTAATTTGAAAAGACAATGAGTGTAACAAGCGTAAATTGACACGCTGTCCCGGGAACATCAACAATTGACCAAGATGGACACACAGCGCATAATGAAGGGAACGTCCAATGACAAAACAGTGATATTTGATTAGTTGGGATGGTAAGGTAAACTTTAAAGGATAACTTCAGTATTTTTCAACCTGGGCTTTATTTCCCCATGTGTATGTGTGCTTATGATTCATAGGTACAACTCTTTTTAAAATTGGTTCAGTATTGAGGGAGGCGGATGCAAAGGAGCTAAAACGGTAATGGGGCAAATGCGTCCCGTATAAGTTTGCGCATTAAAAGTGCTTTTTTTCGCCACTGACCGGTTCAGATCGCCAGTGCTATCTCTGTAAATAGAATACTAAGCATTTGGAACATTATTTATATAACATTACCTCCACTGTGTCTGTAGCTCTCTCTACTCGTGGGACAGCTGTTTTCTTGAGGAAGAGGTGTTTCGGGATTGGATGTCTTCTTCGGCTGGCAGTAGTCATCTTGGGAGAAGTGAGCACTGCAGACCCGATGGTCTGCAAGGCGCAGTGTCTGGACATGAGTGTTAGCATCCATTTGTAGCACAACTAGCCACAACTTCATCAGCATCTCGCCGTCCGACAAAGGCAGCCTATGAAAGCTGTACGGGGTGTTGGGCGACATCCTGTTCTTGCAATTCAGATAAGCACAAACACGAACCATTGTTTTCAATCGATGCAGTAAAACTCTCAGCTGTACTCCGGGACAACCTGCGCCACTCTGAGTGGCGCTCAGCATGGCTCCTCTGTTTTCTTCCGGCAACAAGTAAAGCTCTCGCGAGATGACGTCACAGCCCAGAGGAAGTGAAGGGTAAGGGAAATGTTTAGTATGCTATTTACAGAGATAGCACTGGCGATCTGAACCGGTCAGTGGCGAAAAAAAAAGCACTTTTAATGCGCAAACTTATACGGGACGCATTTACCCCCGTTACCGTTTTAGCTTGTTTCGCGGCAGCCGGCTGCATCCGCCTCCCTCAATACTGAACCAATTTTAGAACGAGTTGTACCTATGAATCATATGCACATGTAGACATGGGGAAATAGGGCCCAGGTTGAAAAATACTGAAGTTATCCTTTAATGTCCCTGAGGGGCTATGTGAGATACAGACAGTAGTCATGAGTACAACAAAACAGACAGTACAAAACAAACAAACAGAACCCAGTATCACACACTGTCAGGGGTAAATCATGGACTTTAGTGGTCACTGCTGGTTAAGATAAGTGATAGCAGACGGAGCAAAGGATGATCTGTAACGCTTAGCGCTACATTTAGGGAGGCAAAACCTCTACCCTGATGGAAGCATCTGAATCTCAACATGGAGGGGATGTTGACAGTCTGAGACTGAGCTTTAGAGGTGGTGAGAATGCATTGAAAGCCCATTAGGAGCACTATTAGGAGGGGGAGGAACATGATTTTCTCACAGATGAACTGTCTCATGTGTTACTGTGTGGATATAGTGACAGTTTCAGCAAATATGAGAAAAAAAATCTGCAAAAATTACCATCTGCAGCTTTAAGTGATCACGACTTTTTACAGTGTATGTGTACAGATGTTTCAATATAACTCAACAGAAACTTCAGCTTCCAAAATGCTAGACTCAGCGGCTCTTTGAGACAGTTTCAACAAAACGGATCTTAACATAACCTTCATGAATAAAGCATTTATTGCAAGGCTGTTATATTACACTGAATTAGTTTTACTTTTTCCCACATTGTCTCTATTCAGACTTTTTTCTTGCTCTGCATATATAACAGTTTCATTTTTCATCCTGGCATTTCCTTTGTCTCATTTTTGTCTCTTAATCTGTCATTTCCCTGCAATTAGTGCACTCAATTAGGTTGTAGTCTCTGCTTTTGTTTTTTTCTCTCTGTGCTTATTAGTGTTTGCTCCTGCTGCAGCAGAACTTTCTCACAGGATGTCCTTAATAAGTATCAATTAAAAGTTGAGGTGAATTAATCAGTTTGACACAGAGGATCAGTGTGAAGACTCCCCTGTCTGTGTGGCATTTTCTGTGATTACTCACTAGGGTGTGTTTTTGTGTCCCCTCAGTATCTTCAGGCTGTTCTCATCAGACAGGAAGCGAGTGGAGACGGCCCTGGAAAACTGTAACCTCCCTTCTGGCAGAGTGAGACACTAAAAAATATTAAAGCTCCCTTCTTCTCGTATCTCTTCTCCTCTCTTGTCCCTCTGTCTTATCTGAGTCTCCCAGCTCTTTTATCTTCTCCATCCATCCATCAGTCTGTCCTCTCACCTCGGCTCTTTCCCTGTTCCCCCAAAACAGCAGCTGATTGCTGCTCTGCTCATTTGTTTGAAGTCTTATTTTCTGGATGTCTGCATGACTTCCCACTCAGAACTGATTTAGCCTTGGTTGTAATGACACAAATACAGGGAGCAATAGATGACAAAAGCTGTTTTTATCTTAACCTCACTCAGATATCACTAGGGAGAAGCTGCCCTGCCATGCATAGGAGTGTAAACACTCCCCCAACACAGCACACAATCTCTGTATTCCAGCAGTAGTGAGCAATTTGCATGTTTGCAAGTGGGAAAATGCTGTTTAATGCAGTTCTGAACACAGCCTGAAACATATGCACGTAGAGTAGAGCAGACACATTGTAGCTGGTGTCAGAATACAAACAGGATAAAAACACACACACAAGAAATACAAACATCCACACACACACAGAACAAGCTATACATAATTAGCACAAGGAGAGAGCAGGAGGTACGAACGCGCTGCCGGATGAAGGTCTGCTGGGATTTGCTGTTGTTCCAACGTGCGAGTAATTACAGCTAAACGGTAGTGCTGTTAATCCCTCAAACACACACTCTCACAGGCAAAGCGCATACGCAGCGTAGCTCACACCAAGGTCTTTAGAGTGACTCATTGAGTTTTGGCGGGGCTTGACCTGCACCCCCCCTCCCTCGGTTCATCCTTCTTCATCCTCTTTTCTCCCAGTATTTGGTTCTGCTCTGTTTCTTGCTGGCACAGTGCTTCTGCCTGCTGCTGAGCGCACACTGTGTCTTTATCAGACCTGTTTGGCTCTGATAGCTCTATAAGGAGCCCTTGTGGCCACAGCTTTTTTGTTTAAGTCTAGGCTCAAATTGCCGGCAGTCTTCTTTGGGTTATGATTTGCATTTGAAATTTATATGCCTGTAATTGATTCCAGAAGGAGACTAGAGGTCGGGGTCAGCTCTAGGACGTCCCAGAGCACGAAAGGCAGGTCTTGGACAGGTCAAGGATAACAGATTTATCTTGTGCAATTAAGATTAGCTAAATTCATCTTAGGACACTTGCATGCAAGCCTCAAAAAAGTAAGAGAGATTTAGGACAAAAATGTTCTTGCATGAGGCCCATTGTGTGCACACTTTTTATTTGCCTTTACAAGTATATATTTATTTTTATTTGACCTTTATTTGACCAGAAAAACCTCTTGAGACTAAAACACTCTTTTTCAAGAGTGTCCTGGCCAAGACAGGCACAGACAGTAACAGACAGACAACATAGAGCAAAAATACAGAATAAAAAATATACAGCTCTAAAACAAGCAGTATAAAACACAAAATGAGATTACTGCAAAGAAAAGCCCAAAAATATGTTAATGTATACTAGAACCATTGAAATGCAAAAAAGGGTACACATGATTTGAAAGTTGTAGACTTTATAAAAATAATGGATGCGTGGTGACCTCTAGCTCACCTGGTAGAGTGTGTGCCCCATACAGGCTGTGCCTTTGCAGCCACGCAGGTTTGATTCTGACCTGCGACTCTTTGCTGAGTGTCATTTATCTCTCTCTCCCAACTTTCCTGTCATTCTTCAGCTATACTATCATTAAAAGGCAAAAAAAACAAAAAACAAACCATGGATCAAGCCACCATTGAGTCATCCATTGGTTTGCGGACTTCCATTTCAAAGCCTCCAATCTGGCAGAAAGTAACCAAAATCACAGATGAGAGGGTGGAGATAAGCATAATGCTAGCTAATAGCTTTGTTAGCACATTGCATTTAGAGCTAATGCTCATTTTTGCTAACGAAAAACAGGCTTAAAACCACTGAAACATATTTAGGTGATTTTTTTTTTTTTTACCTTTTTACCTTTCATAAACTGAACACATGCTGACATAGTGACAGCTACGGCAATGTCTACACTGTCAGTCCAGGATTACGCCATAGTTACGTCACATAATAACCACTGCTGTCGCTGTGGTAGCAACTTCTCAACATAAGTCACCAACCTGTCACTCTAAGCGGCCACACCCTTTATTATGTACAACTTTAATGCCGGTTGACACTACACAATATCAGCCCGATTTAGCCCAACGCAGTGTCGTACGATGTCGGCTCGCATCAAGAACGACTTGTGTAGTGTCAGCCCAGCATAAGCCTTGATAACATAAACAGTTGGGTTATATGAAAATTCAGCCCTGTACAGTTAACACCAATCTTGAAATTAGTCATAGAGACCAAAACCATTTTTTTGTACCAGGTTGTAAACATGTTTATTTCTGCTGTAAAGTTGGGCATTGCCCTGCCAAGTTGAGCCAGCCTCTAGTGGCTGTTCGAGGAACTTTTGGTACTTAATGTTGGCTTCGTTTTTCAGCCAATTCAGGTATAAGTTGTGAAGTTGTACCCACGCACTACTCAGAAAATAAAATTTAACCTAAGTTTAGTTTATTTAAGAAGGGACAATGCAAATTAATAAATACACATGGCATGAAAATGACAGAATAAGTCAAAAGGTTGTTTTTCATCTGTAGTCCCTTGGCAAGATGTTACACAAGGCTACTTAAAATGCAACAAAGCACAAAAAGCAAACCAAAAAACAGTGGATTAAAGTATGAACTTCACAGATGCTGTAGATTTGTAGTCCTTCCTCGTCATCTCTACCCACAAGGCCACCTGTTGCCCTAAGATTTGTATGTACAGTATGTATGTGTATGCGTAGACCATGTATGTGACCATGTTGCTGTTGTCTGCTGCAGAATGATTCCATCCCCCAGGAGGATTTCACTCCAGAGGTCTACAACATGTTCCTGAGCAACATCTGCCCTCGATCTGAGCTGGACCACATCTTCTCTGATGTGTAAGAACCATCTTTCCCTCATTTAAAAATTCTGTTTGGAAGTAATCATCTTTTCAACCGCCAAAGAATGCACTAATTCCCAGTTTAGAAGAAAAGTTGTTTGAAAAACTTGAAACAATGTGATTGTGATTAATCTAGTATAATTTTTTTCATAGCCATCTGTTGCTTGTTTCAGACTGGCAGCTAGATAATGGCTGCCACCCTTGATAGGTCAATATGGCTTTGTAGGTTTAAGACACCCGCTTTAACTCATCAGTCATCACAAGCAGTTAATCAGTGCAGAAAAGTGTGATGTAATGGCCCCGGTTGTTACTCCTCGAGCCCGGCGGTGTGGCCCCTCTTGCTGTGGAAGCTGAGCTGCCCTTTGGCCCAGAGGGAATCAGACCATCAGCTGAGGCAGCACGCCAGCACCACCGGGGCCACTCCAAGTCATAAATCTAGATTTTAATCACAGTTAAGTGAGATGGCATGAGAGTCAGGAGGATATGGAGATGATAATTTAGTGGAACAGGCTTAGATATGAAAGGCGTTTTAATCAAATCTCATAATTTACTCAACACAACATTAAATCCTCTGTTCCTTTGTGCTTCTGTTGCTCTCCCTTTCCAGATCTCTGTGCTGTTTTAATTACCGCTCCTCCCTCCGTCACCTTCTCCCCGTTTCATTTTCTCTTATCTCAATTTGAATTCTGTCCCTGCACGCACATCTCACTTAGTAACCATCCTTGTTTTCTCATTTTTTTTGCACACCCACTTCTCACCTCATCCTCTCCTCTCTTCTCAGGGGGGCTAAGAGTCGTCCGTACCTCTCTGTGGAGCAGATAACAGAGTTTATTAACAGTAAACAGCGAGACCCTCGTCTGAACGAGATACTCTACCCTCCTCTCAAACCGGAACAGGTCCAGCTGCTGGTGGACAAATATGAACCCAATGCTTCGCTGGCACAGAAAGGTCAGAGGCTCAAATGTCTGTCAGTACAAACACAGGCACACTGCTTATGTGTACACACAAACACGCAGGTAACAGCAACTTTCCACACAAAAAATAAGCTGCTCCTAAGTAGTAATTCAGGAATAATTTACTTAAGGTTACCAAAAGTGAAATTGTGTTTTGGTGTGAAACATTTTTGGAAAGCACAAACATGTTTGCACATTTGACCCAGATAAACCCAACCCTACCTCTAACCCTGTACTGTATACCAGCCCCCACCACCACCAGTAAATTTGGCCAGGGTGTTGCCGTAGCAACGCTGCTGCCTGGTGTCCAAGCGCTTAGAAAGTGAGGGGACATAGTGGGGTGCCAAGGAACGGAATGTTAGAAGTCTGTAAATAACACAAGCACACACACACACACACCTAACACCACCGCCAAAATGCTTCACCCACTGCAAACACTGCCAAGCTTAAGAGAGGATGTTCCCTGCCATTTTATTTTATTTACAAGAATAGGATTACATGAGTAGAATCCTTGAGTGGAGACAGAGAGTGTCTAAGAGTGAGAGGGAGGGATGCTTTTGTGTGTTTGTACTTCAGGAGAGCTTGAATAAATAGCAAGTGGCAAATGGAGTGCAGCAGAGAACATATGTGACACTGTTGACCAAAATGTAAACAAACACTGTTAGGGAGTTATATACATTTTCTTTTCTTCACTGCTCTTTAGTTTTGCTCTTAGTGTTATACACACCTGCCCTGTTTGGTTCAGTCCAATCAAACTCAAGTTCGTTTTCCCCTACATGTGGTGTGTTTGGGCAGGTGTGAACACAGCAATCACGCTCAGGTGTGCACCAAAACTACCAGACCGAGACCTTCTTGAAGAGGTGGTCTCGGTCCGGTTACAAACGAACTCTGGTGCGGTTGGTTTGTGGTGAGAAGGTGTTCCGACCTGGATGTGAAGCAACTGCAGTCACATGACACATTGTTTGGGTTAAACATGAGCATGTTACAGTCCTGGAGGATTATTAATGTGCACCTCCTCCTGTACTGCCTTAATATGCACATTCAGCACATCCAATGCATCAAAACATTGTTTTCTAGTTGGAGCCGCGCCTCGTTTTCAAACTGTATGGTTTGACTAAAATGAACAATGACAGCAATATAGTCCACGATGAGCAGCGCTAAAATCAACCTGCGTAGTTGTCCTTCCATTGTGACATTAGAAAGTGTCACATTTATCTTGCAAGTGTACTCTTCTTAAACGTTTGCTTTACTTCCTGGATTTTTCCCACATGGAAATTCTGACCAATCAAGAGCAGCTTTCTCACACAAGGCATTTGATCTGGTCCTCTTGTAAATGCTGCCGTGAGAACACGAACCAACTCTAGGCAATTATACAACTTTGGAACAACATGAGTCCCTGATTCAGACCAAAGCAAGACAGCTCTAAGTTTGTTTCTAAAAGTTAAATGCCTGATGAAAACCCCAACCTCAAAACTAGGGATGCTTCCATTTATCAGAACAACATCAGTATTGGCCGATATTCATCTCATTGACTGTAAATAAGATGACATTCACCAATAGCTGTGGCGGATGTTTTGCATCAATCTCTGCTGGATGAATCTTGTTTTGGTTATTCTGTTTGGACTTGGACAACAGTACCTGGCATACCCAGCTGCCAATTTGGAGAAGAAGCCACTGGTTGGATATGACTCTGACACTCTGGCATGAAATAATAGTGCAACAGATGCTGTGTGCACGTGGGGTTTGTTTACGAATCAAAGTGAAAGAAAATGTCAGCTGTGTGGGACCATCACACTGTCTCAGAGAAAGATTGGTAACGTGGACTTTGTGAGACATGTTTCTTTGCAGAGGCTCCATTTACAGAAACGTGATTGCACTCAGATTATTGGCAAAATAAAAAATAAAAACTGAATTCTTAGTAGTTGTAGTTAGTATAGGTATATAGTAGGGATGCACGATAATGTTTTTTTTTTTTTTTGCTGATATCCGATATGCAGATATGTAACAACCTATTTGACTGATATACTGATATCGATATATCCATTATTTTCCCACCAGCAGATGGAGACATGAAATGTAATTCAATCTGTCGTTTCATGTGGTGTCGCGTGCTGGACTATTTCTTGGCCAACCAGTCGCTCTTTGGCAACTTTTGGTGTTTCTGGGTTTGCTTTATTTGGTGTATATGTACTGTAGGTAGCAGCATCTACCAGTTGAAACATGATATCCAAACAATAAGAATGATAATGGAAATTCTGTCCACCATCAGCATCACAAGCCTGTACGTGTTAGAGCGTCAGGAGTCGCACAGAATAATTTATGAACAATCAAGATGGATGGGTGTAGGGGATCCAACACACACTTGGATGTGTTGTGCGTCGTGTCATGTTGTCTGAAGTGTCAGTGGACAGAGAGCTGCCAAAACTGGAGAACATCCCACTCCAGATATCAGGCATCAAGGTCGGGTATGAGCCAATTCAAATTTTATCTCTGCTGGAAAGCATGTTACACAAGAGTGCCAAAATGTGTGACTTACCACACTCTGTTTATTCCCCAGCAAAACACCGGGTTGTTGTTTTTTCCACCATGTTATACCAAACTATTTAGAAAATAATCTAAACAAAAAACTACATTAGATAATATAATGATGCTAAATACTAACTTTGGGGAGAATACACCTAACAAACAGTGATATTGGTTGATATCTGAAGAACCTGTCACTTTAGAACAGCCTCAATAGCAGCATGTAGAAGTCATTATTGGTGTCACTACTCATTGGTTCCAGTGCACCACTGGACAATGCTTGACAATATCTTCACAAAAGCATTAGTCCAACATGTAGCATGATTGGCTAATGGTTGGTACCCAGTGGTGCTCATTTGTTGTTTCTTATTTTTACCGAGAAATCGTTTTTTCACGTCACAGTGCCAGACGAATCAGTCAGCTCCTGGAGTAGGATGATTCAAAGGTTGTGACCCAGGCAAGGTGACCCCTAACTGTGCTGCCAAGCAAATAGAGGGTTGGTACTCTTTTGCTATTTGCACCGCAAGGAGGGGGGAGGGCGGAACCCAAGGTGAGACACAGAAAAATAAACACAGGGAACAGGAACGAAAAAGGATACGCTGACCATTCAACTGTAACAGAACCCTTTCTATGTAAATGAGCCTCAATGCAGAAACAGTTCAATTCACAAAGATCAGCACTAAAAGCCACACACCACTACAGTGACACTATTTGCATCTTCAAAGACATGGTGCTAACTGAAGCGCATTTATAAGAGAGGTGTCTTACGGTCTCTCTCTGTCACATTTGAATTCCTTGTGTGACGTTTTGAGGAATGCTTCTGCACCTCGACAGCTAGGACTTGTAGACCAGAAATGGGATGGGGCAGATAGTAGTTTCAAGTAATGCGCAATTTATGGTGCTATCAGTGGGCACAATCCATTCTTTGTGAATTTGTATTTGCTGTTTTTATTTTATCCAGTGTTTTTCTCCTTCATAGCCTAAAACAGAACCAAAAACTGTTATAAAACTGTAATAAGTTAGGACCACTTGTGCTTTAAATTTTATTCTTATCCAAAGATTAAAGATTAGATCTGTTTGCACAGACATTTAAACGAATGGGGCGTATTGATTACATGACATATGTCTTCAGCCTTCCAATCAATACTACATCCGAGTTTAACGATATCACAGCATGCCACATGATTTATAAAGTGTTCATTTCCCGAGCAGCAACAGTCAGCACTGCTCAATCCTCCTAGTACAGCGGATCATTAGATTATGTACCTGCATATGGCTGTTCATGAAAAACGTTTGTCACTCTGCTGCAGATCTGAAGTTTAGTACATAGTTGAATCTATTTAAAAATGTTTGGAACAAACCAACAGTCTGGAGGCTATCATTAAATAGTGTTTCTCTTTCAGAATTAAAAAAAAATGCTAATCTTTGGTGCCAGGAGAGGCTGTTTATCCCAAAACATATTTGTTATGCCATTCACATTTGCAGGTTTTATTACTGATTACACTGAAACTTAATTGACCTGAACTGACTCAAGCAGAGCACAAGTGCTGCTTCAATAATCTCTCCTCCTAAAGTACCTACTTTACCTTTGTTTTTTTCAAACATGTTATAAAATGAATCAGGGGCGCCTAAATTAGATCAAATTATTTTTTAAACCACATTGAAATATCTGGTTTGACCGCCCCGTGTTTGACTCTGATCACGGTGATGTGCTCGCACTGCGATGTTGTGTGCTGAGCCTGTCCCAGGCTCTCTGGAAGCGTGCCCTTCTCTGTCCCAGTGACAGATTTCCCCATGTGAAGTATTTATCTAGCCCGAGGAAGTGCTGCCATCTGCTCTGCAGAGGGGTCCAGAGCTCCACATGCTACCTTTACACACACACTCTCACACAAACACACACTTTTTCCTCTATCAAGGACACTCAAACATGCATATAAAAATGTACATGGGTGGCTTTTTGCATACTAAAAATGTGCTCATAGATTAAACTCAGACAGCATCATGTAGATGCACATAGTAAGTATGCATAGATGTGTAAACCTTAAAGGGACAGTTAACCCCAGTTTAAAAAATACATATTTTTCCTCTTACTTTTTGTGCTGTTTATCAGTTTAGATTGTTTTGGTGTGAGTTGCACAGTGTTGGAGTTATCAGCCATAGAAATGTCTGATTTATCTCTAATATAATAGAAACTAGATGGCACTCAGCTTGTGGTGCTCAAAAAAACTCATACATTTTAAAAACTCAACAGCAATGTTTCTTTCCAGAAATCATGACCCAGTTACTAAAGATAATCCACAGACCTTGCTGGGAGCAGTTTCATGTCAGAACTATTTTCGCTCTACCAAACTACACCTACCAAACATGTACAAGAAGCTCGTGCTCATGACAGCGTGAGCATCAGCGTAAAAATTAATGGCGTCGTCTTCGGCTGAGCTGTAACATTGGCTAGCTCATTGGTGCTAGATGAGC